GCAGCTGGCCCAGGCAGCCCTGGAGTGTGACCTTCATGTCTCAAACCCCTCCCTCGAACCGCAAGCGGCCACCCCTGGAACAGCACCTGCTGGACAATTCCAGAGAGCGTGGAGACAGAATCGGGATCCTTTCCCGCATCTGAGTATCAGGGCGTGGACATGGTGTGTGCGTGCGCGCGCGCGCGCACGGGCTCTGCGAGTGACCAGCTCTGGGCCTGTCTTCACCACCCTGTGCAGGGAGAAGCCTGGCTGCTCAGGGGACTCCCAGCCCCCAACCTCCTTGGTGTCCTGTGTGCCGCTGCGCAGAAACCCTTCGGCCAGGCTGAGGGTGTGCGGAGCGGAGCTGTGCTCCTCGGTGGGGTGCCCTTGGGGGGTGTGGGGCGCGTTTGCTCCCCTGTCAGCGAAAGGGCAGTGTGGAGGGGAATGAGCTCCTCCCTGCTGGGCCTCGGCTGTCCCTCCCCACTCCCATCTGGTGGTGACACAGCGGCCACGGGTCCTGGGAAGACTGAAGTCAGGTCACGGCCCCTCCGTCTAGAACCCTCCCCAACTCCCACCACTGCTGGGGCTGCAGCCCGACACCGTCCAGGGTGCACATCGCGTGGCGCCCTATGTCCTGGCTCCCAGCAGTGTCCCCGTGGCACACAGCCGCCAGGCAGGCCCCACACCTCTTGGTGCTGGTCGAGGAGGGGACAGGGGGCCCTAGGCAGGCAGCAGGATGGGGAGGAAGAATAAATTCACAGCACACCAGAACCCCACCACGGACACAGTGACACAGGACAGAGCTCTTGGGACGGGGCCCAGAGACCAGAGCCAGCTGGAGCGGCCAGGAGAGATGGTTCATTACATGTGCACGGCCTGAAGAGTCGGCTCCACCCTCAGACGGGGTGCTCGGTCCCCCCCTTCCCTTAAGTCACGCTTGCTCCTGTGCCCAGCCAGCCCATGGAAAGGCAGCGCTGTGTCTTGAAACAGGGAGGAGGTGCTGCCCAGGAAGCCGGCAGTAAAAAGGCTAATGCGCTGTGGAGGAGAGGAGTTTAATCTAATTTAGTTGGAGGGTGTCTGTCTGCAGTGTTGTTTTTGGAGTGTGGGAATAGAGGAGAGAAGCTGCCCCCTTGAATGGTCCCTTCTGCGCAGGAAGCAGTGGGGAGCCGCTGGACGCCAGTGAGCCCAGGCCCGGCCTTGAAAGAGGATTAAAGAAACGCTCTGATTTGCAATTCACACGAATGCACCCCGCGGAACCTTTGGTAATATTTCAATCCACATTTCAAGGGAAGTGGCCTTAAAATAGCAGCCTAAATTGTTCAGCAGCCTGGAGGATGCTGCTCCTCCAGTTTATGACTAGGGTTTTTTTGTTTATTTCTCACCTCCCCCACCCCTTCCCCGAATCTTACAACCTGCGATTTTTAAGTGTAATTAAAACTTTTGTGCCTGCTGAATTTGTTGGGACCTGCCCGCCTCCAGTGTCCTAAATATCACTCCCGGGGGCGGGGGGTGACGGGCTTTCCACGGGTGGGGCGGGGCGCCAGAGCCAGCAGGCTCCCTGGGTTAGAAGGCAAAGTGGGACTTTCTGCGCAGGTTTTCTGTCCGGCAAGTTTCTGGAGAAACAGGACACAAGACAGGTCAGGGAACATGGCCAGCAGCTCAGGCGTCTGGTGCCAGGCAACGATTAGAAGAAGCCACCTTCCTTCTGCCCACTGCCTTGTTCGAACCCAATGCTGATGGCGGAGAAGGTCAGAGAGAAAAGGGCAGCCTCGCAGTGGCTCACCAAACGGGAATGCCTCAGAGGCCGCCGGGCGGGAGCTACTGCCTCGGGCTGGGCACCCCGACAGCCGGCAGATCCCCCAAGGCAGCTTCCTAGCCCACTCCACTCTGCCTGCCTCACACAAGTTTACTCTTGCAATTGACTTGGAGCACGGGAGACTTAGGGTTCAATTTCCCTTTACTGCTGAAAGTCTCAGTACTTTTTATCTTAAAGAGATTATTTGGGTTTTTCTCTAATCCCATTTCAAAAAACCTCGCACAGGGCTTATAATTTCCACTGACTATTACATTCTAAGGAAAGATACAACTTTGATTGTTAGCAATACCCGTGTCAAAGCACTTCATTCTTTGGACTTTGGTAGTTTGAACAGAATGAAAGTGGGCCTCTCTTTCAACCCCCTTCCACCTCCCAAAACACTTCGTGCAGTGCAAGAGGCTGTCTGACTCCTGAAATCTTTCCTTTCAAAAACCTCACACTTTCCCTGTGAACATTTGTGAGAACTTGAAGATAGTTCGGACAATCAAGGGCAGCTGTCTGCTATGTATACATTTTTAGGTGGTTGCAGCAAAAAAATGTCCTTCTCCCTGTACGTTACAGGAAGTGGTGTTGAATTATAAAGTTTCGTTGAAAACCTTTGCTCACATTTTTAGAGGTCTAATAAGATTCCCATTAATTTAAACATATCACTATTCCCACGACAGCCCCCAGTGCTTTCTTCTCCCTCTTTCATCCATGGTTAAATATGTAAATAAAATGTCTAAAGTCATTCTTCAAAGAACACAAAAGAAAAAAGGGCTGAAGGAAAGGCAGCCATAAAATTCTTCCCGATTCTCCATAACAGTTGTCAGAGGGGGGCCAGCCGCAGCCCTGCTGGGCAGCTCCTCAGACTCACAGCTCAAATCCCACACACAGGGAACAAAATAAAATAAAATATCTTTTCAGCTGGAGCATCAAAAGGCCCTTTTCATTTATTAGTTACAGAGTTATCTTCCAGTTGCTGATTTCTCAGCGCCCCCCATTTTCCGATAATAATGTCTATTTGTTGGTCTGCCACTCTGCTGGGCCCAGGGAAGTGCTACTCTGCAGACCTACTTTTGAAAAAGGAAGAAAAAAAGGGGAGAAGAAAGCAATCTGAAGTGGCTGTGGCTAAAATAATAGGCCTGAACACAGCGGAATTAAAACAGCACCTAAAGGATCAATTAGGAAACACTTGCGCCCCTCTCCAGGGCTTGGCACCGGGAGGAAAAGAAAACAGGACAGAAAGGGACAGGGTACCAGGCGGATCCTCAGGGGAAAGTTCTAGCAGCGCCAGGCGATGTCTGCAGACTCTTTTCTAACTTAGGGATGTTGAAAGATAGCTCGCTAGACCCCAGGGAGAGGGGCACACCATGCTCATCACAATGGCTGTCTGTTCAAAGCCACTCTGGCCTCCCTTCCCATCCCTCGGCCCTCGGCCCTCACCCCACCTGTCTCAGTGACACAGAGGGCAGGCGGGGACTCCGCGCTGGGGGTGCGAACCACCTGTCTGCTGCTCTGGGACCCAGGGCAAGTGGAGGGCTCCCACCTCGAGGAAGGATGGCTGGGCGAGGGAGTGAGGTGGCCTGCCTTGTTCTAATTAGAAGCCAATGCTCCCGGAGGAAGTGCCGGGCTCTGCCATCGCGCCGGGGGGCTGGGCAGTGGGAGGGCCTGGCGCCCCTTCTCTGCGGCCCGGGGCTTACTGGAGACAGCTGGCCGAATCGCGACGACCCCACACGGGTGAGAGGTGCGGGTCGAGCCCCGTCCCGGGCCAGTGCCAAGCGGAAGTCTGGGGCGTGTGGCGGGACAGGAGGCCGGGTGCGGGGCCCCCTGGCCTCGCCTCTCCGCAGGTGGTCCTGGGAGCTTCCCAGGGACTTCAAAGGCCCGACCTTGGGGTGACTAGGGGACCCCTGGGGACTATTTATCCAAGGGTGAGTGGAGGCTGGCTGAACGCTAGTGCATCCCAGTGCAGAGAGCTGGGTGTGCGCGCCCGCGCAGGGGAGGGGACGCTCTCCACGATGGGGTCGCAGATCCTGGGGACAGCGGCTCCTCCACGGAGGGTGTGAGCCTCGGCGCACACCTCCAATTCCTTCTCCGAGAGCGGGATCCCTGCTCTCCACTCCCGCCACGCTCCGCGTCCCTAGCGGACCCTGGACAAATAATGGGAGCAGCGGGCAGGCAGTGGACGACTTCCTGCACTAAAGGACCCGGACGCCTGGGGGGCTCGGGTCCTGGAAGGCTCCCCAGCCCCGCCCTCCCCATCGCCTAGACGGGCCTCGGCCCTAAATCCGAGCGCCTGGAGCCCTCCCCGTTCCTCCCGATCCCTTTGAAATTTCAAAGCCAAACCCTCCCCGGAGCCTGGCCGCGCGCCCCAGGCTGGTCACCCGGGTCCCTGGCGACCTGGGCAGGTTTACAAACCCAGGGGCCACTTTATGGCCAAGGCCATAAAGCGCAAATCCCCTTTCTCTTTGAAAGCGCGCTCCGCCCGGGACCCTCCATAAAGTCGGGGAGGGTGAGCCGCCCCCCCCCCGCCGCCCCGGTCGCCTCCCCCCCCCGCG